AAAGCTCACCGGAAGCACTTTTTCATCAAAACAAGATGGCGGCGCCCAGCAAACCAGCGGCCCGGTAGGATTTGTTCCACGGACCGGGACCGGTCCGCGGACCGGTGGTTGGGGACCCCTGGTTTAAAACATCCCAGAGTGGGAATTATTTTGAATGCTGATAGTCATGCTGGAAAGAACAAAAATGTGTTGTTTTGTTGCCTTGACCTGTAGAGACATCAATCTCTCTGAGAGCGAAGCTGAGCAAGATGGCAGTCACAATATCACAGAGCTGCCTCAGGCCTGTGCTGGTCGTGGGAACATGAAGGCTCAGCAGAGTGCAGTCCGGCTCACTGAGGTTGGTCAGGAATGTGGTACTTGAGAGTTGTGTGAGAGAGTGTTAAAAGACTGGAAACGCTTTATGGACTTTGCATTGAAAATAGAAAAGAGTGAAGGGATAATAAATGGATTTGACTGAAAAAAGACTAAGTAAAAAACTGAAGGGATTTTTTTTTTTGTAAAATCAAAGAGGGAGGAGGGATGATGAATTTGTTTATAACTGTTGTAAAGAAGGTCAAAGCTGCTTAGTTTTTCTGATTCTTGTTTACTTTCTAGGTTTTGCTTTTTCTTCTTTGTAATTTTTTTTCTTTACATTAGTCTTTCACTTATGTAAAAAATCTTAATGATTCTACTAAAAAAAGTTGGGTGAACATGGATGTAGCATGATGGGGGCAGGTATAGCGGAACACGGAGCACTTCTGATCCTTAGATCAGGGGTCGACAACCTTTTGGACCTCAGGGATCACCAAACTCATGATTTTAAATCCTGCGGACCACTAATATGAATGTTGACTGACGGTGGCTTGCTGACGTTGGTGGGAAAGTCGGTCCCATATTCCAGAGCTGCAGTACTCACAGGACTGGTCATCCCAGAGCAACTACTGCTCCACCCGGGTGCACTGACCTGCCATGGACTGGAGGAGCTGCTCCGGGATGACCAAAGGGCCAGTCCTGTGACTACTGCAGCTCTGGAATATGGGACCGACTTTCCCACCAACATCAGCAATACACCCTGGGTGGGTTTCCCTCCCATGCCGTTGGTCTTACCTTCCAGTTCCAGCTCACGTGGCTCTACTCAAAGTAAGGTTTGTGCTCAGCGGAAGGGTGGGGGCCAGTGGGTGGGCGGGCCATGTGGGCGGTGCAGCCTTGTGTTTCCGTGCAGCCTGGATTAATTGCTTTGGGGGGAGTGCTTTTGGGGGTGGGAACATTTCTCTGCGGACCACCAAAATTTTCTCACGTACTACCAGTGATCCCTGGCCCACTGGTTGGCGACCACTGCTCCAGATGATTTTCTCTGATCATCTGGCTTTGGAATCGCTCCCCCGAGAGCTGCAGCCTTTCTTCGTTTCTGCTCAAGATGCCTGAATTTCAATTTCTGTGTCATTTGTGTGTGGTCTCCTGTCTAGATTGGCCCTCGCATGACATTGCAGCTCATCAAGGTGGAAGAAGGACTAGGTCAAGGCAATGTACTCTACCATAGCTTCAGTAAGTATCGTGACTCTTCTGTCTTAGTTCTTCTTTTGAAGAGCAGAACCAGAGTGTTCATGGAGGTATATTCAAGAACACCTCTCCTATGGTGGTATATTGTATGACTTAGAGGAAAATTGGAGGATAGTGTGATTAGTGCAGTTACTGTTCCAGTACTGTTCAAACACTTCTCCCTTTTTGCAAGATTCTTTCAACTGGAGCAAGAGCTTTGGGGAGATCAGTGTTGGGCTTTGATGAACGTATATCATGAACCTGTTTTAAGAAACCCGAGAGGACTAGGCTTGGATATTTTCATTTTTCAAAGCTGTGTGTATGTGAGAGAACTGAACCCACCCATTTAATAAGTTCGGCCTCCAAAACATCCAAGGCCAAATTCAGTGTTGTAGCTGCCCTGCAGTTCAGGTCCTCTGCTTGATCACTTCCAACCTTGAAGGAAGTGTAAATTAAAGGGTTGTAAAGTTTTAGGCAGATCCAGTTTTTGGGGGGGTGGGGTGTATGTTGTGGGTGTATACCATATCTTTAAGAAAATGCCATTGGTCTGAGGCACAGCTAGTTTTATGCAAGTACATTCATCAAATCCTATAGCTCAACATTTTTAGACCATCAAGCATCAACTTGCAGTGCTCAGTGCAGGTCCACCTAATTAAACAATCCCACACAGATCATTTCTAACCTCTGTTTATACATAGATACTGAAAGGGGATCCACTTCCACCTCTCTGGCTAGATCAGAGGTCTGCAACCTTAAACACTCAGAGCCATTTGGACCCATTTTCCACAGGAAAACACACACACACACACGCACAAACATGGGTGGGTGTGGCCAACTCAATGTCACTCATTCCCACCCAGTCACATGACCCCCTCCAGCCACGCCTATCCAGCCACAAATCCCTTCTCTCTAGCTCTCTCTCTCCCCTCTTCCTATCTTCCCCCCTCTCTATATCTATCTCCCCCTCCTCTCTCCAGAGCCACAGCAGAGGGCCCAAAGAGCTGCATGCAGCTCTGGAGCCGCGGGTTGCCGACATCCGGGCTAGATGGCTCTTCTGTTGAGCTTCTCTATAAAGAACATTTGCTGTCTCATTTCCAGGTTGGGCAAATAAAATCCTTCCAAAACACTACAGAGTCAGTACACTATCAGTCAGCATATTTAAATAGTTGAATGAATGATCTACCATTGCAAGGTAGCCCCCTGTTTTCCTATAAATAGATCTTGTCTTTCAGCAGTCAAAACATTTCTGAGACTTAACTCAGTTATTGCTGTGCATGTTGCTGCTCATCCTGGCAAAGAGACTTTGCCTGCCCCCTTGGGTGCCTCAAGGCCCACCTAAGTGAATGAGGGGGGGAAGTTAGCAGCCTGACCTTAGCGACCCTTCCCTGTGCAGCTTCCCATTGATTAATGTCCTGTGCCTTCTCCCAGTTCACAAGACGGAAGAAGAGATCCAAGAAGCCTTGGCCAGAAAAGAAGAAAAACTGCAGCTCAAGGCTCAACGGCGCCAGAAGCAAGAGGCAGATGTGGCCAACAAAAAAGCACTAAAGCAAGCTCATCGGTAAGGGGAGGGAAGAGCGGGCACTCAGCCCAGGAAAGCTTCTTTTCCAGGCGTTATGTTTCTCCCAGAGCCTAAATGGGAGCAGGGAACGTCCCTCTGGGTTGAGAAGATCGATTCTCGGGGCGCTCATGGAAATTATCCTTGGCTACAGCAAGAAGAGTCTGGCGGGGATGAAGAGGAAGACGGACCAAGCGGTAGAGGGAGACAGTGATGCCGAGGACCCTGGAATGCAGGAGCAGCAAAATGTAGATGAGCCCTCCGATGATGATGTGGAATACTACCGCCAGGAAGTTGGGGAGGAGCCGGATGAAGGTCAGTGCCTTCTTAGGAGGCTTTTAAACTAGAACGATTTGGAGGTGGGCATAGCTGCTCATAACCTGAACCTTGGTTCTCTAAAGTCACCCTCTGAGGCATCTGTCCTGGGAAGGAGGAGGAGCGTGTGGTTTCTCAGCTCAGTTGGGACTAGCAGTCATT